AAGTACATATCAGCACTGTGTTTATATATACACAATTACTGTATATATGACGCCATTTATTACAAAGAAACGTTTTTATCTTGTTTGTCTCAAACACGGAAGTAATTTCGCCTGCAAATATTAAACGCACTTGGATTGCATCATATTCTTTAAAAAAAAAGAAAGATATTAGTCTGTTGAATTTACTCTTGAGCTTCAGTCATTACCATGCTAAAATATACATCTTAAAGTCGTCCGCACGAAATTAAATTTTTAATTCGAGTGCTCTGGATCGAAATGAGAATATGAGAGAGACTTTATATATTAAATGAATAGATGAATCACGAATTCTATTTACGGTATATTCAAAAGATTTTCTTAGTATGCAAAACAGTCGTGCATACGCTTGACCTGCGAAATCAAAAGACGCAATATTCCAATTTAATGAGGTTATTGACCCTTTTTCTGGTTGAGCCGATTTTTCCGGGAATTCAACACATGATCAAAAGTAAAGTAAATTACCTTACTGGAGTAAATATGATAGTGGTACAACATATGCGTATGATGAAGTGTAACTTTCCACGTTTAAGAAAAGAAAAATTATTTGTACTGTATTGTACGTATATACCTGTGCGTAGTCGTCACATCACATAAGCTGAACTCATCTTCATTTTTTCACAAAGCTGTTCAGACTGTGCTTTTGTGCAGAAATCTAAAAGTGTATCGTGTTGATAAACACCAATTAAGGACGTCATTGACATCAATGATAATCTGAAGAAAAACCATGCCTAAACCATGCCTACTTTTTGACAATTATTTATGATGAGCGGTACAGCGTTGCGGGTACTCAATTGGAGTTATACTCAATTTCTCCAGAGAATAAACGCAGTAGGATTTATTCAAACAAATGCAGAAATTTTTTGTCGAGCCCAAGTTATTCTTCGAGGTCGATGAGTCTCAATAATAACTATGCAGTGTGTAGAAATTCGTGAACCGTGCTGCAACAGATCGACTTATGTATCGGCGCACGGTTTTTGGTTGGCATGATGTCGCTGCTCCATATCATGCCTCTGTGATTTCTGATTTTTATTTACTGAATCCGAAAACACCATACAATATTACGATACAGCAGACTCATCTGATTGGCAGTATCGAGGGATTATTCTTCTTCAATCGTAAAGAACAAATACATTGAAGAGATCATGTTGATTTTACAGTACAAAGATTATTTTGTAGCAGCACATGAAATCTACGAATTATATAAAGCATGGTCGAAAAACGGAGTCTGGGTTACATGCTGATGCATTGTACGGATTTGAAAAGAACAATGTTGAATTTAAAAATGTTCAGTCACAAGCTAGGAGAAGAACACGTGCAAATAGAGGGGGACTTGCTCCTTTGTAATAAATATTTCTAAAGTATGAGGTTGAAATTTTTGTGGATGGCTTGAACTCTGAGCACCAGATCTCACACCAGCTCTTTTTCGAAAACGAACAATAAGAAATTATTTGATTAATATCGCCTTTCGTCTGTGTGTTGAATCAATAAGATGGTGCTTCAAGTGTTTTTCAATAAAAAATTCTGACGATCTGATCGATGTGAGGTACGTGGTTTTTCCATCGTTTTAGTCCAAGTTTCTTTAAAAGATCGAACTGCTTTTTTTTTAAAACATAAAGCTGGAAAATATTCTGGTAAAAAAATGGTGTGGTATAATAATAAGCTCGAACCTCTCTTGCAGAATGCAAAAAAGTCAAGAAAGCCGGAGCAATTTGTAACATAGATATTGCATCATTTTTCTGCGATAAAGATTCATTTTGTCAATTGCTCGGGATATTTCAAAACGGGATACTTCCTGCTCATCTTATTCTATTTAATGGGCTGATTTATTCACGACTAGAAGATTTAAATATCACAAAATGTCAGGTATCAGTACTTTCGCGCGAAATTCTTCACCATTTCCAATAGAGAATGAATAATTTAGAGTCACGTTTTGCTTTTTCTCCTTCATGGCATCCTTATTGTTTCAACTTCTTCCAGCAAGGATCACGCCTGTAAAATTTGCCATTGATAATTTTCTGGAAATTTTCACGCTTTTCAGATTTTTGGAAAAGCGCACCCATAAAACATAGAGCTGAGCTTCTGCTCACAATCAGTAATTTTTCCCCAGAAATGTGCACCACATTACGTCACTTTAAAAAAAATCGCATTCAAATATTTTCGTGACTCCGGTTTTTCTGATTACTTCTTGAAAATTCGTAAAGTACGCGGAAACGAAAGTCGCGTCGTTTCCGCGATCTCAGCAGTGATGAACACTTGATCACCTTTTTTCACACGTTCTTCTGGAACCAAATATGACATGACTTTCTTCAATAGCCGCGATAAATTTCCTGTATTCAATTACATTTCCTCAGGATCATGAGCACAGAGAAAAATAAAATTTGCTAAATGGATTCACGCCAGAACCATTTCTTTCCAAAATACTGTACAGTAATTAAAAAAAAATTCACTTTCTCATTATTCTCAAGAACTAATTCTCTCTGGATGACTTCTGCTGGATATGATTTTATTCTTCCATTCTCAAAAATATCGCCGGACTGAAATTATTTTCATTTTATAGCATTCGAATCCCATAATGCAATATTTATTGTACACATAATAGGGCTAAAATTTATAAGCATCAGCTATTTACGCCATATATATTATTTACAACAAATTAAAGATACTACGATATATGAAACATTTTACTGCCGGAAAGATTGAAAAACATAATTTATTTCCTGAATATCAGCAAATACCTTGATGCAAACATTTTATGAAAATAAAATATCTATGTCGAAAGTTATCTGCTCAAATTGTTTCTTGATACAGCGTACTAGCAAATTTTCAACGACAAAAAACAAGATAAAAACGTAGATAAATTTTTAAAATTATTATTAAAAATATATACGAATAAGATATTTTTCCTAAAAATTCAATTGAATCAAAATTGCGCAGAAATTTCAATTTTTTTAGGATGACACAATACCGCGGAAGTACTGTACACCCCTCGTCTGCTGATCATGACGTTTGATTCTTAATTCAAGGGATGAAAAACAAAATGCTTCGTGGGATGATAGCAAATTTCTTTCATTTTAGACGCTCGATTCACAATTTAAACTTTGATGATGCCCATTTTTCAGATTTATTGAGAAATTGGAACAAATTTGAACCTGTAGAAGTTGGTCCAAAACCTACGTATGAGTCATTGGAGAGTGCGCCGGGATCGATTTTTTTTTTTACATCTCAGCCTCATTTCACAATGAGGTGATTTTCACTGGTGACTCTGGTGCATTTGATATATGAGTAATATGACTGAAACTTGTTTTTTTCTCCCTGAGCTAGGATGCAGTGTGAACCATCTATTAAAAAACGCATAAAACTATCCAGCTGTATATAAAAAAGCCATATTAAGCAACCATACCGTATATTATTTGACTATGCCTTCCGGGAATTATGATTTTGCTGGCGCTTCGCCTGCAAAAAATGAAGCGGTCTGTCAAAGAAAACCCCAGCACACATTATAAAATAACTTGCATGCAAATACAGTAGTTATTTTAAAAATAGAATTGATTGAATTTCATTAGGAATGGAAAATGTGGATGTGTGTGATAGACGTAACAGCTTTGGTGCTAAGTAGACCAAACTCTTCACTAAATTTTCATCGAAAAAGTTTCTCACTGTTAATCATATTATTTTTGCTTCCCATTATTTAGTAAATGCTCAAAAGCCGTATATAATCATGCGCATGAATATAATTTGCCCGTGCATGCACATATACAGTATAAAGATGGCTATTATATATGCTCTGATAAAATGTGATCCCAAAAATGACCGACCTACTCGTTGTTCATATGAAACAATGTTTTGAAATGTGTTAAAATATGATTTTGTGGAATGAGATGTAAAGCCTTTCTATAATGTCCTTTTTGAGAGTGTTTTAATGTACAATAAGTACAGAATATGGGTTGGATAAACTTTTTTCTCTCCCTCTTCCGCCGAAAAGTCAGGTTTTGATGCACACTTTTTATTTCCCACCCTCATTTTCAAAAAACAGTTCGTCCTATTCGTAGTACTGTACATGAAAAGTTAATTTTAATGGTTGAATTGTTGTGAGTCTACGCACTATCTAAGCACTCCATAGCTACTCGAGCTGCTGTATACATGCCTTAAATCAGCCTGAACATAACATTATGAGCGGTGGATTACTCTGTGATCATTTAGCAGAGTATGCCACAAACGTCATGGAACCCCACATGTAAAGCATGTGATGATCACGTTGTTCACCTTGCGGAAACCGTGCGTGGTTAGTGAGCTTACGGCGAGCTTTATCACGTTACTCACGATTACTATTGCGAAGTTGAGTTCGTGAGATTTCTCGGTTTCTCAAGCTGTGCACGTTCAGAGGCAACACGAGCTTTTCTGACCTTGTTAACATGAGCGAATTTGTGGTGTTTCAAGGGAAAGTTGGACAAGGAATTTGGACCTGACTATACTGTGAAATCTGTCTCCAAAATGTAGAATTGCGCCAGAAAGAAATACTCCTGATTCTTACGTCAACTTCTGCGCATTTGGGGATGAGGTTATGTGTTTATAGATTTCAGATATTGTCAATTGCTGCCTTCCAGGCCAGAACAGGTTCGTCGTGTGCCTCAACTCCTTCCAACTGATATAACGGTGGAGAAGCAGATAATTTCGACATGTTCTGAAATTATCATTCCGGTACTTGTACCTTTGTCGAATTCAGTTTCGCGTGTCTTCCGTGAATAATCATGCTGGAGTACATGAATGATCTGGAAAAGGTTGGTGGTTGAATTGTTCTTGCGATTGCATAGCATCATTCGTTGGCTTGTTGGAAACGACAGGAGGACTTTCATTCGGAAGTTTTCGTCGAGCGGCAGTCCCAGAAATTGAGTGGAACCCAGCAGTTGAACACGGAAGAATTGTATGCTGGATTTATCCAGACCATGAAGTACGTGATTTGTTCTGCTTTTCTGCAAACCTTTAAAACAAAATCGTTTCCGTAGAGACTTGGAAACAATGAAGTTGCAAGCGCAACGAAAGCAGGAGAAATTGCAGAAAACCTTAGTCCAAAGAGAGAAAGAACATTGGAAGAAAATCGCTACCCTGCAAGCCCGACAACGAGTGAGTTGATAGTTTCCTGCATTGTTTATTGTTATTGCGAGCCAAGCTGGTGTTATGACTGCAATTTTCGCTTTACTTACCTTCGATTCATCGCATTACTATAGAATTTAATTTCCCATCTGATTCTGTGGGTGAACTATCTCTTGTTAGTTGTGTAAACGTTCATTCGTATACTTTAAAAACGGTGATCCCTCATTCCCATTTTTTAAGAATTTCCAGCATCAGTCAATTAAGCATAGTAATATTTCATAACGGTAAGTGCGTCAGTTGAACGTGTTTTAATTTTGGAGAACTTAGCGATTCTTGTATTCTTACTCTGCCAGATGAGGGATTTTGTAGATGAGTTCAGCGTACTATACTATGCTTGCAAATCTGCAGGTAGCGTTCGAGTCATTGAAAGATCTCGAAGCAAGCATGGCTGCTCTTTCAGGAAAATTGGTGCCCATGGGGCAGAGACTGGAGAGTCTTGAAGTACCTCGTGCGCGTGCTCAAGAGTCTCACACGCTTTTGGACTTCATTCTTCAATTCCATTTAAATGGACGACCGTCGGACATATTCACCAATCCGAAAAGAGTAAGTTTATATGCGAGTGACTTTTTAAATGCCGACAGAAGTGCTGGGGTATTTTGTTGTTTTGCAAAAATACTTCTTTTAGTATATTTGCTAGGTGGACTCAAATCTAGTGCGTTCTCAAATCGCGGTGCCGGAGTGGGCAGTTCACTTTTTGGGTTAAACTGTGCAGGTCCGATTTTTTATTTTATTTAAAAACACTGCGTTGTGGCGATGATTTTTCCATCGCAGGTACTACTGTATATACAGTATATATTCAAGGATATATCTGAAATCCTAATTGATTTTGCACTTGTGAGCACTTCATTGTCATCATTCAATTCCTAAGTTGGATGAGCAGGACACAAGTGTCCCAGCCGGACGTTAAGTACGCCTCAAACAAATGATTCAGACGCATAGTACATTTGTTCAATTGGTTGTTTTTTTTCCTTTCTTTCTGAGCATTTATGGCGTATGGCTATTTATCGGTATCAATCCTTCTGGTCGATCTTAGTCTATTACCCCTGTAAATTTAATGTTTTCCACAACATGCATGTAAACCACACTGGCTGTCAGTGTGCAGACTGAAATCCAGAAAGGATTCTTCCATAAGGTTTAGAGGAGCACATCGCTGAAGAAGAGCTTTCTTGCAAAATTTCTCAGATGTCCGTACGATTTGTTGGAGTTGTTGCTTTTTCATGCGGTCATTAGACTACACAAGATCTTTTTTTTCCAGCTGGACGAACTGTCGGAGGTTATTCAAAAGCTGTACAACACATCCAAGTATCTTCCTCCGGAGTGAGTATTGATTTTGAAGCATTTTAATCACTATTCGCTCAATGCCTCGGGAAATGGTGGAACTCCATCATGGAAAACTAGTGCAGTACAGTATTTTGTAATTGTGACTCGAATCATGGATTTGTGGAAAATACCTTGTGAAAACTCTTGCCTATTCTGACTCGAATTCGGAAGATACAGTATTCCCGGTTTATAAATCTGATGATCATGGGCTCACCATTATAATTTTTTTTTTTTTTAGCTTTGGTACAACGAAACGTCAAATAAGTCTGAAGTATCGAGACATCGAGAAGTACTTGGTGAAAGAATTCACCGATGCTCTAAAGGTTGGCGATGTCCGGAAGATGAAGGCGATTGCTCATCGCTTAAGTCCGTTCAGTGACTATTCCCAGTGCATTGCGGCCTTTGTTGACGACAATCTGAAACATTTGGTGCGTGTGCTCTTGCATGGACGCTTTTTTGTGTGTTTTAGCATTGTTCAAGCGTAATGATGTGTAATTTTCATGCATGATGCGTACATCGTCCGAGTCTGCAGTAGTTTCATAATTCAGGGGAAGATTTTGTGTGTTTTACCGTACGCGACATTCCAAGCCACGGTAACCTTCGTATCAACTATTATGAAACTTTATCAACAAGCAGATTTCGCCTATATTTTCAGGGATAGTTAATTGACTTGAAGTGTGTACTTCACACAGAAGTACATTATTTGAATCGACACTATTCAAAAGAATATTCGATCACCTCTCATTTGAATTTTTCAATTATGACTTTTCTCTCAAACCGGTCAAAAAATATTTTTTGCTGTGGCATGATTTCTTCTTGTTCCCCGGTTTGAGTGACTTCTGATGTGTTCCGAATTTGTATTTGTTGTGACTGCCTTCTTCACTTGAAATGATATTTTTTTAATCTTATCTAGAATGATGTCCCATTGAACGAAATGTTCACGGAGATACCGAACTTGTGCCGACGGATTTTGCCTGTGATGGACGAAATTTTCGTTAACCCTGATGTTGTTGCGTCGAAGTTTATTGACCCACTACTATCTGGATCTTTTAGGGTGAGTACAACATTTGTGTCGTTAATTTTGTATTATATTAAAAGTTATAGTATAAAAAAATTAATTCAACGTACTTTATCGCTTTTTCTAACGTGAAAATTATGTTCGATTTTTCAGGAAAAGGTCGTAGTTGCCTTGCAACCAAGTATGTCCTCCAAATCTGGAAGCTACTTGGATACCCTAAGCACATTATATTTCAGGTGAGTTCTGATACGAAGCGAGAACCGCGATCTGCATGGAATATTCCCGCGATGTGATCCGACAAATTAGAAAATCTCACGCTTATTTTTTGTTCATTTATGCAGAACGCAGAGAATGGTGGCGGAAATGTCGGAATTGAATCTGGGAACAGATTCCAGGAACATTCTCAAGCGAAATCAGAATGAGATTTTTGCGCATCAGCGAGGATCGTACGCAAGGTTTGTTTTCTGTTCTCGTGACGTGTTCACGTTTCGAGGATTTCGGGACTGGCTTCTGAATTTCCCGCAATGGCTCGTTTATCATCCTGTAGATGTTTGTGAAAAGACGTTTCTGTTGGTTACAATGAATTCAAAGCCTCGTGAATAATCACCTAGTATGTCGAAAACGTAGAAGTCCTGATGTAAGTAATCATTTCTGAATGTATTTTATGCAGGTAGTATTTATTCGTTTGAAAGTTCGTAATTTCAGCTGAAATTTGCGGTGCCTTCGTCGTTTTTGATCAGATCATTTCATTTTGGTGTTATTTTGTGGGGGAAATCTTTGAATTTTCTGACTTCATTGGCCGTTGAAAATTCATTCCCGGGAAGACACTATTTTCATTTAGATTGACTTCTACTGTTATATTACATCTACAACGAACACGTGGAATATCTCCGTTTAACAAACTTTTGTGAGATTTGAGAGTTTTTAGTACAGTACTCCATAGACTTTCAGCACTGTAATCCATGAAAATTACATGGGAAATTACATCGTTCCAAAAGAATGAACAAAAACATACATGTTTATGTTCAATCTTTTGGAACGATGTAATTTCCTATGTCGTTATTCGTTTCTGAAACCTTCTAGTTTTAGATGGAAATAGATATGAAAATTGTCTGGACAAATAACAAAGGAATAGGTGCGGTAGTGAAATGATCAATAAAACGTGTGAATCCGAATATTTTGTATCCTTCGTTTTCTTAGTATGGAACTACGTTCGCTGGAGGAAACTGTGGAAGCTCTCCGAAACAAATATTATCAGTCGTTGAACCACCAAAAACGGCCAGTGGCATTGAAAGGGTGAGGATGACCATCTTTCGTGCTCTTTTCATACTGCCGTTATCTTGACGTTTTGTATCTCTCTCGCGCGTGATAGATTTTCAGAGATGATGAGCGATGTGAACACCGTGAAAGCCTTTATGGCCAGGCTTGGTGAGCTGGGAGGCGACAATGCGCATTTGATCGATGGGGAGACTTATTTGTCTGAAGTTGTGGCCATCAATATTCTGGAGGAAACCAAGGCTTCCCTTAAACGCTGTGATCTTGTGAGTTATCTCATAACTTAATCCTCCGCCTGTGTTCTCCTGAAAATATAAGAGTTCCGAAAAGATTTTCCTATAGTGTATGCGGTACAGTATATAAATGATGTACTTCATGCATCTTTAAAATTTAATCGGAAACACGGATGCTTTTCCCGAAGTGAAGGTCAGTGTACATTACTGATTCCAACGTGAAACTTGGATTTTGAATTTTTGAGGAGCTGAACCGGCATTTTGTATAGGTATCGATGGAAAAGCGTAATTATATCGGTGAATTACTTTAATTACAGTATATCGGTGAATTGAAGAAATGTTCTGTTGGAGTATATTGTCTTTTCGGGTTCACGCTTTATGTAAGGGTCCAAGAATTTCAAGCAAGTGATTCGAGTTTTTTGTTGTTCAGAATTCAAAGACCCTCATGAAATGTCTTGAATGCTGAAGCTTACGTTGGAATATTTTTCTTGTTCCAGTTGTGCGAGGGTGCTACCAAAGAAGACATGTGCTGTAAAATTTTCAATGTGATGATCAATGCGGTGATGATTGAGTTGGTGGAGTATGCGGTGGATCTTGGGCTGAAGCGGGTTCTTTCTGCACCCACACCTGCTGTTACGGATGGTCAGACGGAACCCGTCGGTTATCCAGATGATATCTTCCTGGATGTTGTGAGAAAAAGCAACTCCATCGCGATATTCTTCAACAAACAATTTCATGAGTCCGTCTTGCCGCTGATTTCGTGAGTAGGACGAATCTCCATTTCAAGCAAATGTTTTTCGTGTTTATGTGATTGATCATCAGCTTTTTCCCGTAAATCCCTCTCTCTCTCATTTTTCTGTTGAAGTTTATCTATTCAATAGTTTCTATTGAACTCTTGTTGAAAGACCAGAACGTACGTGAGCTCTGAAAGTGTGAGCAAAAGTTTTCATAGAACACTCACTTAACTTTGTTTCAAATGGTGAAATATCTCCTTCTGAAGTCCACTGTTCCGTCAAGGCTGTTCGTGACAGATATTGGGGAAACAGACTTTGTGTCCGTTGATCCTGTGTATGTTTCTCCAATATTTAGTCGTATTTTTTCGTGGAATCGTTTCCCAGGGCTTCAGGAACAAAACACGCTGAATGCATGCACAAGAAGAAAACTCTGTTCGCGCAGTTGGAGACAAAGCTGAACCAAGGCCTGCAGAAGTGAGTGTCTGAAGTTCATTCGTTAATATTGTTCACCAATTGGCTGAAATAATTCCAGTTTTTGATTCTTACCTTCTGTTTTTTTCATGTGATCCTGTTTTTATAATGCTTCGAGTCATATTTGTTGTATTCTAATGAACGCCGGAGAGCGAGTATATGGAAAAAGCTAATTTTACAAACAAATGCGGGGAAATCCTGCTGCACTTCTGCATTGTTGACGTTCAGCTGCTGCATATTTTTTTAATCAATCAGGACGCTTCGGTTATTTTTGTGATTCTTTTCTTGGAATTGTGCCTTGTGCGCTGATACCTCTTTAATAATTGCGTGAATGGGCTTCTGACGTCTTCGGTTTCTTGAAATGACAGGCACGTCGGCACTGTGATCAATTATGTAAAGTACTTGCTGCAATGTCTCCAGCGGCGCGGTTTTGACAAGACTCCCGCTGAGGATCAAACATTGGACTTGGCAACTCCTACCTCTGATGTGAGTTTTTTTGTGTCATCGCTGGCCCATATCTTTTGATTTTCCTAAGTATTGGTTGTACGATTCATTCAGGCATGTAACAGAGTGGTGCGATACATCAAGGGCGTTGTGAAAAAAGCGAGGGACAGTCTGGATGGACCAAATCTCGAAGCTTTTCTGGGTTCGTTGGGCTTGAAATTCCATCGGACCATTTACGACCACATTTTGTTGTTTTCTTATTCGTCATCAGGTATATTAATTTTCTCAAATGGATGTTTGAGATCCGTTTCAACGGTAACTTTTATGCTTTCAGCCGCGATGAATTTGATCTGCGATTTGAATTTGTATCGGAAATGTGCTGAAGAACTCGGGAATCCGATGGTGACAAAAGCATTCGATGTGCTTCACGCTCTCTGCAATCTACTTATCGTGCCTTTCGAGAACCTAACTGTTATCTGTTCTCAGGATCAGTTGGTGCGTTTCATTTTTTAAGTTCGGCCCTATTTTTTTGAATAAACGTATTTACGCGTAGATACTAATATTTTTTTTATTTTTCTTATACTGAGATTGACAGGAAAAGAAACAGGGAGCGAGTTAAAATGGTTGGCGACTTGGATTCGTTCTAAACTTCTTATGAGTGACATGGGCTTGAAGAGGGGTTTGAAGTACTGTAAATATAGAAAACTGAAAAATGTAAATAATTAAACTACAGTATTTACTTCAGGAAATGTACCACATTGTGCCTTTTGATGTTTTTTCAATTGATTTAGTGGCCAATTTATTGTCTGATAGGCTATTCTTTATGGACACATATCAAGCGAGTAGATTTTCCAATTGCAGTGCATTCTGATGAATTGGAATTCGTCGTGAAAATTCTTCTGAATTTTTCGGTCCCCCCTGCACCGTAGTTGAATACGAGTGAAGTATGCAATATTGTAAAGAAAATGATCGTACTTCCTAGATTTATAGGAGAGCACCTTTTTCAGTCCTTGGTGAGATGGTGACGGAAAAAATCAAGGATTTTAAATTAATTTGGTGCGATATTTCCTTTGGTGTATTTCATGATATGAAGCCAAGGAACATTGAAAGTTCTATTAACTGGATCATAGTAATCGGGATACTTTGTTTTCCGTCCGCAGGCTGAAGTGGACCAGAGCGTGCTCAACCTATTTATACAGTTGAGAGCCGATTCGTCCAAAGCATCGAAATTTTCTTTCTGAAAATCATTTAGTGAACAATCGGAGGAAAATTGCTTCAAGAGCGGACACGATCCGATCTACCAAAAATTCGTACGAAACCCCTCCCCCGTGCTGTGTGATTTTAAAGCTTATCAATCCAGCCTTGCGTGTGGAAAAAAGTGCTAAATTAACTTCGGCGATTATCATGTGTCGAAGTCACAGTTGAGTTTTGATTATAAAACCGATGAACTTGTTGAGTCATTTTTATGATGGCTCCTTTAGAATGTCGTGAATGACACAGTCTATTTGATGAGTCCACGGAGTTTTCTGAAGAACTGATATTGATGCTGATGCTTTTAGAAGAGCTCCTGTGTTTTTCTTCGCCAAATTTTTTAAATGGGTTCAAATCTCGGGACTGTGGTCTGCTGGTAAAATTCCTTTTTAAAGCTAGGTGGAAACGTTGGGCTCCCAGCACTTTCGAAAGCTTTATCATTTTAAGGCAAATGATATGAACGTCTTTTTTTCAATATAAAAAATTTAATGCATATTTTTTTCACTTTTAAGGCTTATTTTCAAGTACAGTAATCGGACATTATAAATTATTCGTGGAGCTCCTCTGTGGGTATTCTCCATCGGATCAGGTCTAAAGACTATTTCTGACGTGACTTTTATGGAATATTACCTAATCAAACATTTGTTTCATGTGATTTTCCGGTGTGATTTTGAGTGCAGTCATGCTCCACTTCGCGCAATGTAGTCGAGATGGATTAAATAAGCAGCGGTGCTTGGCAGATGTCAGAAGGGTGTGAGAATCAGGACGTGGGTCTTCGAAAACGGCGCCGAACGGCGTCCCTAGAGGCGGAGGAGATGGTGAGTCTGGGTCGAGGCGACGAAGACGACGACTTGTCGCGATACGCTTACAAATCCTTGTCGTTTGCGGAGCACGAACTCCTGCACCTTCCTGAAACGGTCGTCATGGCGACACTCACTCCACCGAACACCAGCGGCAAGGCGTCGGACGATGAAAGCAGGTGTGATTGTGATCTGTTTCAATACATGATTTAAATCTCGGATCTGAGAACTTCGTTTCTGAAGCTTCGAAGTTCAGGTGTCTCGATGTTCTTGAAGCTGCCAATTTTTCCGAATGAATTTTAAATTCTTGAAACTTTTAATGCATTGGAGCAGGCATACCTAATAAAAGTTAACCCCTCATTGAAGATGCGGTGCTGTTATGGTACGAAATCTACCGCAAAATTATTGCTCTGAAAAGTGATCATCTGGCTTCAGTCTTTTTTTTTTTTGCAATTGAACAGTTGAACCTTGGAAGATCAATTATTAACTTGAGTTACCTTAACATTTCATTGCATAAACTTGTTGAAAGATCTAAGGAGAGTTGTGATATACAATTCTTTTTAAAGAAATAGTTGCACATCGATCTCTGCGGTAAATTGTTGGAAAACAACTGATAGTTCCGATATTTCCGCACTAGGTAACATCAGTTCGAAATACAGTACGGGATTTCAATACTTTGTTCCAAGTCTGTTAGGAGAATTTGGATGAAACTCTCTCAGATTATTTAATACAGTATTTCGTAGCGCGTGATGTATATTGTGTTCGGATGCGTTGTTCTTAGCAGAATGCCGAATTCGTCGTCTGTTTATATTCAAGCCTAATTTAGAAGTGCACAATGCCCCTGCCTTCGAAGAAAACTCGCTAACTTTCGGATTTGTTGCCTTTTCCTCAGATCGGGGGACATTGCCAAAGATACGTCGGAGGCGAGTGTGGTCCAACCATTACTGGAGATCGTTGACCACACCGAGTCTGCCCTTACATTCGCCTGCCAAGTATGTGTGCCCTTCCTGATCGCGGGCATGGGGATGGTTGCTGCTGGCTTGTACCTCGACGTTGTTCAGGTTAATACTTCTCACATTTATTGAATTGTCCCAGTTTGATATCGTATTTACTCGAGTACCACGCGCTCCTTTTTTCTCGTGATTGAAAAGGAAAAATGTGGCGTGCGTCGTGGGTGGCATGAATAAAAAATATTTTAAAAATTTAGGTGCATGTCATGCTCGAATATAATGGGATATTCTTGAAAATAAATTGTGAAAAATCAAAACAACTGAAAATTGATTGAATTGGGGTTAAAGTCATTTTCAGATTTGAATACTGGTGTCTCTTGTTTTTTAAAAATTGTATTCTATTTTAGTCTTTCAGTCACCAAAAATAGGGTACGCATTTTAATTGGGGATAGGATTTCATCAACATTTTAGGGTGGAAAATTGGGATGCCTTTTTTTTTCAAGGGCGCATGGTACTCAATTAAATGCGGTAATTATTGTCATATCAGAAAATCACGCCCGCTACGATAGTCGCATTCTTCTGAAAAAAATCGGTTAAAGCTTTAAAACTATACAACTTTATTTCTTAGATCTTCGTGCTTTATCGAGCTGTTTTTTTTTTTTTTTCAAGCATTGGAAAGTCTTCAAGCACTTGCCGGAAATTTTCATCATGGTTCCGGCTTTGCTAGGGTTGAAAGGAAATCTAGAAATGACCCTAGCGTCTCGTTTGTCGACACACGCGAATCTGGGCAACATGGATACGTCATCTGCGAAGTGGAGCATGGCTGTATCGAATCTAGCGCTCGTTCAGGTGAGAGATTGCGTCAACAGTCTTTAAACTGAAACTAGTCGAGTATTTTCCTCTGCTCTTCCCCCGCGGATTTTTTATTGCACCTCAAAGATCCCTCTCGTTGTTACGCATTGCTTCAAAATATCAATTTCAACTGGAAGATCCCCTGAGCTAGAACTGCAATTGGGTAGTCGGTCGGAAAATAAATTAAACGGGGGATGCTCAGAAGAATTATCTGGGCTTTTCACTGCATTTCACACATTTGCGGGGATGTCGGCATACTAAAGGGGTGATATGATTGAACCGAAGACATTTTTCATAATAGACTTAGTGATGTATATTCTTGTTCGCAATCTAGGGACGTTTTTAAGTTATTAGGCCTAATTGTGAGAATTCAAAAGAAGGATGAAGGACGTGAAAATAGCCCAATTTCGCACCTTTTCAATGCATTAACTGGTTTTAATGACCGGGGTATGAAAAGAATGAAATAAAACGTGTATATACTGAATTTTAATCTGTAATTGATGTATCTCTGAAGCATGGTTTGTGCAGTTGACATGTCTTGGAGCTTGAATTTCGCCTTACGTTATAATTACGCTAAACACTAATTTTAGATTGCTGCAGTTAAGATAACTTTCTCGCTCTACCTTGGCAAGTTTTATCAGACGTATGTGTTTTGCCAATTTGCCATAGCAATGATAATCTGACTTAAAAGATGAAATAATATACTATTCGAAAGCAAGTGATAAAAAACTTACAGTATGAATTCGCTTTCATTTGAATCATGAATTCAGCTTTTTAAAGCTGAAGTTTCATTTCATGGGATAGGGTTGTTTTCAAGTCAATTGACAGTTTTATGTGTTGCTGTATAGGCTGAATATTGAATGTATTTTATTACGCTTTTTTTACTAGTGCTTCATTCAGCAGTTTACCGGTACCGAAGCTTTTGAAACTAGGTAATGAAATGTTCCACGTTTGATCATTTTCGTCGATCTTTTTTCTTAGTGCCAAGCGTTGGTTGTTGCATTCCTTGCATCCATGGCCGCCATGTTACTTGGATGGGGACCTCAGGGCACATTCAACTTCTATCACGCGTCTCTATTGTGCGCCGCCGCGTTACTGACTGCGAGTTTGGCTAGTTTCGTGCTAGGTTCGTAAATAATTACACGTTATGAATTTACGGGGATTCGATGTTCATTTAATTGTTTTCAGGTCTAGTGATGATATTCGTAGTTCTTTTGAGTCGTCGTCTGGGTATAAATCCAGACAACGTAGCCACACCAGTAGCTGCATCGTTGGGCGACATTACGACGTTAGTTTTACTCTCTGGTATTGCCGAGCTTCTATTTCACGGTGAGATAAATTTTGAATTCTTTGTTGGGGAGAAAAAATCATCAATTTTATATCTTTCTGTCCCTACAGAACAGTATTTATGGTTGTCGCCTGTGATAGTCGTGCTATGTCTTTTATCCACTCCCTTGTGGGTGTACTTGGCTCGCCAGAATCATCACACTCGAGTTGTCCTACTGACGGGCTGGACTCCGGTCATTTCGGCCATGGTCATTAGCAGGTAAATTTCCAAAATACTTAGGGGAGTTAATTTACGATTTATTGAAAGTCTCACGAATTGTTTTTGTTGAAAGACTTTGTTATCAATGTTACAGAAGTATGCGTATTGTCCTATCAAAAATTTGTCAAGTTTCCCTTGCAAAAAAACTATGTCCTTGTTTTGATTCTTATCATTCATGCTAAACAGCGCCCCAAGATGCGGTCCGCATTTCAAGCAATTCATTAGCAAATGGTTCATGTGATTTCCATCTGCTGCAACCTTGTTGCTGTCCTATTATATTCCCCCTCATTTGCATTGTGTTTTTGTCTCTGCGGTTCCAGTCCCATGCAAGAAATGATAAAAGCCCCCTGTATTTTGCATCAGCAAGTTCAGTGTTGGAAGATACCTCAAGAAGGTGGCCGAGAATGTAGTAGTCATCTGAATATGCTGATGTTCTCTCAAAAGAAGTCTACTTTTATGTAAGAATACGCCTGGAAAAGGTTTTGCGTAATCCCTGGACATGAAGGAGAGTAATAGTTAAAATTAATAGTTTGGGCTTTTAGCTAAAGTTAACCAGCAACGAAGCAGGAACAACCAATCAATTGTATTTCATTTAAAAATCCGGACAACAACCTATACAATATTTTTCCCATATTTGCACTGTTGAATACAGGGTAATTAAATATGGGAATATTAGTACAGGTATTGTGTCAAATTAACAGTGCTGTAACTAAAAGCTTAGTGTTCAGATGTGCAGTAGTACAGAGGTGCATTTTGATGGAAATATATTATTGTATTTTTTATTCTCGTCAGCTTCGGTGGGTTGATCCTGGACCTCGCCATAGTATCTTACAAAGGCATAGCAGTTTTCCAACCGGTGATAAACGGTGTAGGAGGGAACTTAGCTGCGGTGCAGTCCTCCAGGTTGTCTACTTATTTGCATCGCCACGGAAATCTTGGCCAGTTACCACCTGAAGAAGGGGACCGTGTCTGCGTATCTCCTTGGGGATTGTATTTGGGCAAGAGTAAGTTTATATTTTTAGTCGAAGCTTGGAGTTGAAAAACTTAGATGTGAGACTCAATGAATTCAGTTGATGTTTTAGGCTTTAGGGGGTTTCTCTGATGTCAAGCGCATCATCCCCACAAACCGTAGTTTCGTATCACGTAAATAGTTATTACAGCCATCTATTGTTGGTACATGACACAGTATGCTCCTCATTTAATCAGTAAAGAGCATTTTGTGACGTGAGGATATTGCGAATCTCATGTCTCAAGCGCGAGGACAATTTCATGTGCGAAATTCATGATTTGTTCGGACGGACGCCTGTCATTTGGATGCTCCCTAAAATTCGAAAAAAAAAAAAATTCAGAACAAAGCTTCAAATCAGTCAAGTGATGCTAGTTGCCTTCGGAAAATGTTGGGGTTAATTATCCTGGGGATTTTTCTCCAATGGAAAGTTTCAGGGAATGTGGACAGAGATCACATGGTGACGAAAGAAATGGTTGTCACAAATGTATTCCTTCCACAAAAAATAGAACCGAAACCAAGGAATGTTTGAAAATTTATTCTGGATGCTCTTCAAACGTTACCGGATATCGCTCTAATAATTTTTTCGATTGCCATTTGAACTCCTCCCCAAGTTTATATTTGTCGTTTATTTGTCCTGTTTTTTGTTTTTACAAAACAAGGAAAAAATGTATTGATGGTCAGATTTCATATGCGAGCAATCAAAATTTTTTGGTGACCTACAGGAACTTGAAGAAACTCCTTTTATCCACACCGGAAAGGTTAGAATACAAAATTTGCAAAAGACAAATTTTCTTGAACAAATTGAGAACATTTGACAGCTTGTTGAAATTGGTTTCTCAGTTACATTTTGATTTACCGGTTATTTCCTTGATCATTCAAGCACTTTTTACAATTCGTTTAAAGGTTTGCACGCGATGACTGCAAGGGTGCTTTTGAGCTTCGTCATTCCTGGTCATTTGGTATTTTGTCTAGCCATATCAGTCCTCAAGCGTGGCCATACCAGTGTAACGCCGGTATTCGTGTTCTTCTACGACCTTGCCGCTTTACTGCAGGTTAGTTGTGTGTGCATTTTGGAAGAAGAAAACGGAAGTCATGTTCAGTTCCCTCAATTTACCGTGAATCTCTTGTTCGCTGTTTTTTTTATTTTTTCAAAGATGATTGACTTGCTGCATTTTGAATTGAGCAAATATTTTTCAGGTGGGAGTTCTCTTGTATGTTGGTCACATGATGGTGCTTTGGATGTGGCGTCGTAAGATAGACCCGGACAATTCTGCCATTCCCTACCTCACAGCTCTGGGTGACCTTTTGGGCACCGGATTTTTAGCGTCGGCTTTCTACATTATCTTCCTCATCGGCGACCAGGACAACGGTGTCGGTGACTAAATATTTGTATTTGTTTTGCTGCCTTTTCCCAGGGTGGACGGGAAAATTGGGCTTTTAGTGCAATTTTTCTGGATGCAATACAAATAAATGGCTTGCGGTAACCACGCCAAATCTTTTCTTCAACCATGTGTACAGTTGTGCGGATTCAACGATCGAGATTTTTTGTTGTTTCTGATTTCGAAAAATACGCATGGTTTTGAGGTTTTCAATTCTCACTAAGTTGTCTTGATCATGAGTATGTGGAAGTTCACTACATCTGTTACCTCCGAAGTTTTTTTTACGTTGAGTACCGAAAAAGTTACTGTGCAGCGTAATTAATTTCAAACTCTTCCCCACCTCTTCTGTCAAAATTTTAAATTTTCCGAGGTGGATAGATTGCTGATTACCATGCATTCAACTTTTACAATTGATGTCGATCAGCTTCTTCCTTTATTGCTGGTGTCGAATGGGCCCATACTTTTTTTCAATTGATGAAGACTGGCTTTTACCAAGTATTCGAGAAATTATTTTTAAACCTTCTCGAATTATTATTCACCAATGTAAATGCGTTTCACGCAAGAATTTAAGTTTTGTCGAATGCTGACTTCTCCGCTGCACAGTGACTTATGCAGCGTCCTGTATTGTTCAAAGGAAACCTATAGAAAACCACATTAGTCGAAGAATCCATGGATGGTGGAATTTTAGGTTTCGGTAGTCGTGTTTAAAGTGCAGCATTGGACAATCCATGGTTGAAGAAAAGTTTTCGTGTGGGTCCTTCTCATGGAGATGATGAGTTAATTAGGAAAGTATTTCAATCAGTATTTATGTATGAATCGTCTCTTGAATCTACAAGAGAGATTACCTACGTTGGAGCCATGGTTTGTTTTTGCTGCAACGTGAAGTGAAATCCTCTGGATCTGGAAAAAATCCCATTTATTCTATTTGTTGTGTTTTCGGGCGCTATTTTTCTTCAAGTTGCTGAGTTGACCGGTGCGAAAAAGGAACCGCTCTTCTCGTTTGCTGTTTTGGGATGAACAATTGTGGCTATGATTTTTTGGCATTGCGCTTCGGATCTCGCTTGTGTTGTGTGCTGTTTTGTGGATTTCGTTTTATTTTATCTGAGTTCTTGTTGATTTCAGGGACGAATATTTCTTCTCACTAAGGTTTGTCACACTTCGTTGTCGACCCAAGTGACCCTTTGAATTATAACCTTTGGTTTTGATCTCGCATGCAAAACATTCGAGGGTTGTTCCTGGTTGTTATTTTGCAATCGACCTCTCCTGATGGTCGAATGGAGAGGTGCAGGTTGCGTAGTGATTCTTCGTCTCCAGTAGGCATTTACACGCACTTCGTGCAATTCGGCATCAAACTTTCGGAAAAAACTTCTTTTTTCGTCCCTGAAAGCAACAAACTTATTCAGAGCTCGAAAAGATTGAGTTCGCTTTCTGGTCGATCAACAGCCGGTCCGCTACCCGTTCATAAAGGCGTGTGGAGACGGTTGCCGATTAAGAATCCTATCCGAATGTCTTATTGACTTCCCGGACGAAATCGGGGAAAATATATCCGCCAAAGACGAAAGTGAGAACTGGAAAGAGAAAGAATCATGTATTGGAACGAAAGTCGGAATATTTAGCCTATGTCTTGTATTCGGAATGAATCCTGGGGACTGGAAACAAAATCTACGTCCACACACTTTCCAAGATGCCCTCCGGAAAAACATACTCGATATTCTCGTCCAGAAAAGGAAAATTCTTCGTGCATGACTCATTATTGTTTGTTTTCTTGCTACTCGGTTTGTGTTTTCTGTTGAGATCCAGCGCTATTTGGAATCGAAAGCTAGTTCGAAGTAAAACTTTTGGTGATGCGAATAAATGGTTAGTGGAAGCGATTTGGAGCTGTCACGTGGAACGCTCGACGCGTCATCGGTCTCAAAAACAAAGAAGATTCTCAATGTCAGCCGGAATTTTGTGACTGTCAGCTTGTTACCATGTTTCTGAATTTTCTTGTGTACTTCGAAACCTCGAAAAACTTCGAGGGCAATCTAACCTTCCAGCTAATTACAAAAAAATCCTGAATTGATCCCGAATTGCTCTTGGTTGAGGCGTTCTGATATTTCTGCGTCGTATTCAATTTTGACAATTTCTTTTTATTCTTGCCGCAAAGAAATCTAGTTTTACAGGACTTATTTCCAGAAATTTTTTCAATCGTTCACTTGTTTGTCATCAAACCCTAAATGTGAAATAGCTAGTCCATTTACATGCACGCTTCATGCTTTTCAAGAGTTCGTCCCGTGTGTAGGCTGAGAAGGACGATCGATTGGTGAAATTGCGCTCAGTTGTGTGCAAAATGTATTTGATGCGAAACTACCTTTGAGTAGTGCAGTTGCAATCTCAAGCTGAAATCTTACTTCAAAATTGAATCAATCTTGTGGCGTGGAATGAGTATACAATACTGTACTGCCGAAAGAGTTAGTTTTTTCCACGACCAAGGCCTCAATGAGCATCATCCATTTGAGATGTCATTTCCCCGTGAGCCAGTCGAGATGAAGATTCGTCGGTGTCGCCTAGTTAAGATGGTTTTTTTTCGTTATTGTAGTTGGGGAGGAAACGATTACTCACGTTGAGATGAGACCTGATGTAAATCACGCGCAGTTTGTCAATATTTTGCGGTTGGTTGATGGAGGGAGAATGGGTCAGGTGCTGGAGTTCGGAGTGTGACCCTACCATGTGTTGCTTCGGAACATGCAGTGAGATCTTTGTGACGGTTGGAGAGGAAACTCTTCTGATAGCGTTCATGCTTCAGCTCATTTCCGTCTCGTTATTATTTTTATATGAGTCAGAAGAGGGGTGTTGAATAATTTTCTACCTCTTTTACTCAGGTGGCTGGGTGCATCGTCCGGTAATACATCGGGGAGCCGTGTTGATTTTACCTATTTGTGAGGAAATAACCTAGTTCAGGAAATTTTCATGATGTTCGGGATTCCTCGTGCGGTCGATTTGATCCCAAAACTGAGTGTTGCGTGTGTTGTGAGGTCGTTTAACTGTAATCGAGCAGTTGTGACGAAAACGAGGCGTTCTGTTTATTTGCACTCGTATCCCGTGACTCTAGTGAACCCTGACGGGTCTTCTTACACCATTCGCTATCATGAGCCTCGTCACGTTGTCAAGGTACGATTCGGGCTTGAATCCGAGTGCTGGGATTTAACCGAGGATATTTTAATGTTCTGAATTTTACTTGATCAATAAATATCGAATCTTCACTTCGAAGCATAGCGACGTTACTTTTCTGCTCTTGAAATTCGCGAGTGCAATTTTCTTTTGAAGAGGGTAAAATATTGAAGAGTTTTTTGTCAATTCTCTGTAACTATTGTTGAGTATGACCTCAACATTTTTCCTTTTTGGAAAACGTTCCAATACTGTCAATATTCACGTTACAGTACTGGATAAAGGAAGAAAGGAAAATTCGTACGAATGTTACTTTCTCGTAATTCACTTCTGTTTTTGTAGCCTCGGTGCGGAAGAAAAATTAGAAAGACATTTCCATCCATAACAGAACGACTGCGAACTTTCGTGTAGCCTTTCAATTATCTCGAAGAGTATACAATAATTTGTTTTTCGATTTACAGTATTTTATGTTTATTTTTTAACTCATTTCCAGCTGCCTTTCGATTTGTCAAAATTGACGGATCTACAATTGCGGGAGCGACAATTGAGGCGTCGTCCGCAGCAAACCACGGTTGTTCAAGAGCGAATGTCGCAAACATTTGACCACAAGAAGTACAGGCACCTGCGAAAAAAGTAGTCTCTTTGGATTCGTGCGATCAAGCTTTTATTTGCAGTGCCTCGTTAAAGAAGTGTTCATGATTTATTATTTGTTGAACCACTGTTTTTGTGACTGCAGGAATTTCATGATTTAGTTTTATTGTTTCTGATGGGCAACAATAGATCACATCTCTGAATTCTTTCATTTCAGAATTGTGTTTTCTCAAGGTTGTAGAAAGCATTTTGAGCATGAGTTTCATACCTGAGAGTGTTATTCCATCGTGTTCCCATGACTGGGTCATGCTTGTGGTTGGTTTACTCACTGGAGCCTTCGGAATTGCCATCGGTGTTTTTTTCAACCGCTTCAACCTGTTCTACTTGTGGACGCACAAGGTGATGAAATTCTTGATCGGTCTCGGGTTTAATTTTCGGAGACGACGAATCGTTGGATTTCGTCGAGCTGCGAGAATCATCTCAAATTTCTTCATCAGGCTAATCCGGATGATAAACGACATGGAGGGCTGTTGGTTGGCGAAGTGCTCAAAGCGCACGGAGTGGAAAACATTTTCACCTTGTGTGGTGGACACATTTCTCCTATGTTGGTTGGCTGTGAAAAGCAGAAAATTAGAGTTATCGACGTTCGCAATGAGGTTCTTACCATCCCTTTGGAAGCCTATTACGTTTTGAATGCTGTAGTTCTTCGTGAATTTATTTTCACTTCTAATTGCGTCGTTCATATATTTGGCTTAACCTGCTTAGGCAACTGCCGTATTTGCCGCTGATTCAATTGCCCGGCTTTCGGGCAATATTGGAGTTGCAGCTGTGACTGCTGGACCTGGTGTTACGAATGCTGTAACTGCGCTGAAAAACGCTCAAATGGCGGAGTCTTCTGTTCTTCTCTTAGGTACTTCCAATGTTCATAGATAGCTAAAGCAATATTCGCGAATGCTATTTCACGATATGATAATGTTTCTGAATCAAACTTTATCCGGTGTATTTGAATTTCAAGATACTGTATTCTTATCTAGTTGAAATTGTGTAAGGTATTTTTTTTTTAAATATTTTTCAATTGAAGAGCGCATTTTTCAAAAGAATTTTTTGCAGCTCTCCAGTTCTACAAAATTTAGTTTCAGATTTGTTCGCAAGGCTTTTCTCTTGTCACTCTCTTGGGGAGGATTGATCGAATAAGATTGGATGGCGTTATCGGCTTGGTAAACCTGGAGTTCGCATTTATCTATGCAGTATTCTTCATTTTTCTGAAGTGTGTTAAACTTTGAATTCGTAAAAAGAAACTCATCACTCTGATTTTAAAATGAGAAGAGTCATTGAATTATTCTCAATCGTAGGATCGACACGTTATTCCGCAGTATTCCCAAAAATTTGTTCGATTTCATTTCCTGGACATTGTGTTTCAGGTGGAGCTGCTAGCACACTTTTGAAAGGCAGAGGAGCGTTGCAAGATGTCGATCAATTGTCGATGCTTAAGCCGGTCTGCAAGATGACGTTTTCGATTCAAACTGTCCGGGATATTGTACCAGTTTTGAAGCGCGCAATTCACACGGCCCGTTCTGGAAGTCCAGGTCCAGTTTTCGTGGAATTCCCCATAGACGTGTTGTATCCGTTTAAGCTTGTTCAAAAGGAAATCTTGCAAAGCGGAGGGAAATCCAAGTCTTTCCAACAAACTATCGTGAACTGGTTCCTGGATAACTATTTGAACAATATTTTCGCCGGGGCGTTCGATTGCACCGATTTCAGCCCGTTGCCGGTGGATGTGCCTTGTGCCTCTTTGGACGAAAGTGAGTCAATTTTTTCCGACGCCTGTGACGTTGATGGAGAATGAGTACAGTACTGTAGTTTTTAAACGACTGTATTTCCACTCGTTTCTCAAATAGCGGTAAGTGACTATAGAAAGAAGGAAAGACTCAGATGTCTCCTATTTTTTAGTGCAACACTCTTACTTTTATTTTATTTTTTAGCCTTTCGGAGCAAAAAGCTAATCTCCAAATGATTTTTCAGTGTTCTCAGTGCGATAATAGAATTTCATTTTTTTTCTGCCGCAGTTGAATGCGTTTCCTTTAATTTTTCAGTCCACAAATGTGTGAAGATCGTGACTCAGTCAAAGAAACCTGTGTTCGTGATCGGAAGCCAGGCTATGTCCGGGGTTTCGGCGGGCAAAAGGGCAGAAAATTTGCGGAACCTGGTTCAGGATATGGGGATCCCGTGTTATTTGGGTGGCATGGCCAGGGGTTTGCTTGGACGGAAGAATCCTTTACTTTTGCGTCACGCGCGACGTGATGCGTTGAAAGAGGCGGATTGCATCATCCTGGCGGGTGAGTTCGATTCGGAATCGTGTGCTCTTTCTTATTTTTCATTCCTCCGTGTCGCGAATCTGTTCACAGGTGCTGTCTGTGATTTTCGTTTGAGTTATGGACGAGTGCTGAATAAGAAGGCGAAAATAATTTCAGTTAACCGTGATGCCAAGACTGCCGCAAAGGTACGTTTCCCTCTTTTTTTCTATTCTCGTGGTTTTCTTGGAGATGTAGCCTAATAATTCGGAGTTCAATATCCAGCCAAAATCCCGTTTTAATAAAAGACCGACTCCACAAATTATTAATCTTACTAGAAAGTAGCGATCAAATTCATTTGAAATTATAAATTGTGTTAATTAGAGCTATAATTCATCGCATACGAGCTTCTACATTGCAGGAATCGAAAATGCGAATGATGCGGGATTCAGTTTTTAATGATTCCGCGTATTTTTGCCTCTCAAAATTAAAACCAAATACTGTATTCCCAAGTTCACGCATTAGAATACAGTACTGTATACTGTACCCTGAGAACAAGCTTGAAGGGAATTTTTACCAGAAGAATTTTGTCACACATTTTTGTCGATCCACTTTGTTAAATCACTTTCATTATTTGGGACTTTCCTATGCAGTGCTTTTTTAAGATTTAACGAAAATGAAACATTTTGGTTCGGACAAAGGTATCCTTTCGGATAATTCGTTCAACTGTAAGAAACGTTAACTGCAATGACGTTACAAGTGCATGATCTGTATAAATTGTGTGATTTCCGTAGAATTCCGACATGTTTTGGAAACCAACTGTGGCAATTGCTAGCGATGTTGCAACATTTTTGCAAGAATTGGCGGCTCCTCTGGTCGGACATCGTGTAGATCCTGAATGGGTGAACGCTCTCCGTACTCGTGACGATGCTAAGGATAAATCCAATGCTGAGATGGCTGTGAAGCCAGCGGATGCTTATCTAAATCCGATGAAAATTTTGACTGAATTGGAAAATGTCCTTCCAGAGGATGCTGTGCTTGTTGCTGATGGAGGGGATTTTGTTGGGACTGCTGCTTACATTCTAAGGTCAGTTCATTTTCATATAGTCGCATTCTAATCCCGCATTTTCCTTCGATTGTCTCTGTCATGTCCTTTTTTTATGATTGGGGTGGTTGTTATAAAAAAAAGTTTATGATGCATGTGAAACGTTATCACGAATACGATATATTTTCCACCCAAGAAAATCCGCAATGAGCTATCCCTATCTTTTTTCACGCTGTTTGAATAGCTTAAATCTCCCATATTGATTCTGTATTCCATTTTCCAGAGCTCGAGGTCCCTTGAGATGGCTTGATCCTGGAGCATTTGGAACATTGGGAGTTGGAGCTGGATTTGCGATCGGAGCCAAATTGACGTATCCTGATTCTCAAGTTTGGATCATTTATGGAGATGGATCATGTGGCTACAGGTGAAAATATGAAAAGCGTGAATTAAGGAATATGTTTTTCAATAATTATCTGGTTTCCGAAGTGTGATGGAATATGACACGTATGTTCGCCACAAACTGCCTGTGGCTTCGATTGTTGGAAATGATGCGGGATGGACTCAAATCGCTCGAGAACAAGTGCCGATGCTAGGGTCTGACGTTGCGACATGTTTGGTGGTGAGTATTCGATTGTTCTCAAGGATCATTGGTCAGTTTTAATTGTCAGCATCGTCTGATGTACGCAAGTCGCTATAAAATCGAGATAAGGGAAGCATTTGGGATTGTTGCTTGTGCAAACTAATTATATTTTTCGTTATGCCAAGATTTATTCGGAATTCATAATCTCTAATTTCTCTGTCTCATTTGAATTTGACATGTTTAGCACAACGATTATCACCTGATTGCTGAAGCGCTTGGTGCCGTGGGTGTAAAAATCAGCGAAGAAACGGAAGTGAAATCCCGTCTGACGTCGGCATTTGAAGCTGTGGAAGCCGGGAAGAGCTTATTGATCAATGCGCTCATTGGGAAATCTAATTTTAGGGAGGGTAGTATATCGGTATAAATACGACAACATTATCGTGCTCCAGGTTGAGCTTCATTGTTGGTAGTTTCGTGGATGCCCACCGGTTATCTCTTGGGGAACCTTTGCGGTATTAATATGGGAAATAAGCGCGGGAAGGTTTCTGAGAGAAATGGGAACTGTTGGTCAATCTAGTTTTAATGATTGATTTGACGTGTCCACTTGTTTGCCGTTGACTGAAAGGTCTGCTGTGAAATCGTTCGGAATGTGATCAATCTTGCTTAAACTCTGAAATCGACTCTTAACATTTGAAAATCCGTTTCACAGCACGTGTTTCGAATTTTGTGCTGCTCATTTCTTGCCGAATGTAACGTAACATTCCTAGTGTGGTGTTTGTGACAATGCGAGGGCATATAGGATTGTTGAGGATTGGGCGCCCTTGCTCAGTATTTCGTTGAGAAGGCAGCTAGATTGTGTTTTTCATGAATTTTTTTCAATTTCTCAGAGAAAACTAGTGCTGGAGAAGAATTAAATTATATTTTTTTTTGGAGTAGTCGGGTTGTTCTCCGCGTTATTTGCCGAACATGCCTTCGAATGAGGAAGCATCCGGGGATACAAATGCCGAATCTTCTCGTGAGTACCGTATAGATTTCTTATTTTTGAACCTACCCGCCATTTTTTAAAGTCATTGTCATAATTTGAGAACATTCCGCTTCTGACTCCGCCGAAGAAAGTTTCGCTTGCTTCATTTTGCTGTACCAATAAAACATTTAAAAAAAAGACAAAATTTGATCGTATTATCTGGACAATGTGCAGTGATGGTATGAATATCAGATTAGTTTTCACGAATATTTGAATTATTTTCACTGAGGCAAATTCGCTCACCTCTCGCAGAAGCAAGCGACGCGCCTGTGAAGTCAGCCAAGCAGCTAGAGAAAGATGCCAAAAAACTAGAAAAACTCGAGAAGCTTCGACAAAAGCAAGATAAGCTGAAAGAACAGCAGCAGAAGAAGTTGGAAAAAGCAGGAGACGAGGAAGTTCGTGTTCAAATTGCTTTTTATTTTTTCGATAATTGACGGAGGTTTTATTTGAAATTCAGACGAAACCAAAGAAATCGAAAGAATCAAAGCCAAGGGAAGTGATCGAATACGATGCTAGTAAAACGGCGCCTGATGGTAAAAAGGACGTGTCTGGAAATCTTCCGAATGAATACAGCCCTGGGTATGTGGAGGCTCAGTGGTATGCGTGGTGGAAGAAGAAAGGATTTTTCAAACCGGAGTATTCGGTGCGTATTTCGGATTGTTGCGCATAAGTTCGTCTGTGAATCTAAATTTTTCCTTTCAAAGCATCCCTCGAAGGACCTAACGAGTCCAAACCCGAAAGGTCGATTTGTGATGGTCATTCCTCCGCCGAACGTCACCGGTTCACTTCATATTGGGCACGCCTTGACTAATGCCGTTGAGGATACCATAACAAGATGGTGAGCTACCGTGGAATTATTATTTTTTCTCTGATACTTTTATTTGGCCCTTATCCCTCCTAGTGACGTTAGGAAATTAGTTGGTGGATATTTAAAAAATTGAAATATTACTTTGTTTCAAACCTGAAAACTTGTTCACCTACGAATTTTCACATTTTTTATAGGTCGCATATTTCCTTCTTCAACCAAAATACCATTTTTGCAGAGCACTTGATTTTCACGTCTGCTATTTATTTTCTTAGGCACCGAATGAAGGGTCGCACGACGCTTTGGGTTCCAGGTTGTGACCATGCTGGTATCGCCACTCAAGTCGTGGTGGAAAAGAAATTGGCGAAAGAAAGAGGAATATCTCGACACGATCTCGGAAGAGAAAATTTCATCGCGGAAATTTGGAAATGGAGAGAAGAGTGAGTCAACTTCCTCTCTAATTGAAGGATTGATAGGGGCTGCACTGCAAGATTTTTTTTTGATAGCTGAGAGTAATTTACAAATGGATTTGTATTTTGCTGGCTTGGACTACTTCAAATTTGCTGTTTTTAAAACATCACCAGGAAGGGAATTCGAATTTACGATCAGTTGGAAAAGCTTGGATCCAGCTTTGATTGGGACCGTGCCTGCTACACGATGGACCCGAAAATGTGCAAAGCCGTGTGCGAGGCTTTTGTCAGAATGCACAGGGATGGCACAATCTACCGGTCAACTCGACTCGTGAACTGGTCTTGCACGTTGAAATCAGCTATATCTGATATTGAAGTTAGTTCACTCAAGTCAATTTCGTTTCAATATTTTTAATAAACTTTAAAAGATATATGTTCATGGACTCTTTCAAAAAGTACTGTAGTTCGAATGAATCTCTTCTCTAGAAATAGTATGATGAGGTATTTTCCAAAATATTGGATTACTAAGAATTTTTCAAATGCTCTCCCTGTTATTTGATCTTTTGGTGCATTGTGGGATGGATATCTGTCTAGGTTGACAAACGGGAGTTGACTGGAAGAACACTGCTTGCAATTCCTGGCTATAAAGACAAAGTTGAGTTTGGAGTTCTCACGGAATTCAGCTATCCAGTGGAAGGCTCGGAATCGGGAGAAGAGATTATTGTTGCCACGACTCGATTGGAAACGATGCTTGGTAAGAATTGTCATGGTGTCTGTTCATCGTTACTTTTTCTTTGAAGAATTTGGGTTTACAGTATTTTGTTCTGATTAGTACTGTAGTTTACTACTGAGGCTCTCAACTTGATCTTCGCAGATGTTTTAAGAAAATAAGAACTCTAAGAAAATAAAATCGAAGTTTACACTAATTCATGAATCGAAACCGACGTGAGATCAACTATGGCATTTGTGCATGAAGTGAGAGGCCATCGGCTAAAGAAATGTGACCCCCGAAAAAGAGTTGGGAATCATCGCTTCTGTGGTGCAAAGTTGAGCGCTTGAAGTCGGAAAGATTTTATTTTCATTTTCACTATTTTATTGTTTTTCAAGAAGATTTTCAAACGATTTCATTCCATTGTACTAGGGGATACTGCTGTTGCCGTGCACCCCGAAGATGCGCGTTACAAGCACCTACACGGAAAATATGTCAAACACCCGATTGTTCCCGACAGAAAAATGCCCATCATCGTCGATGATTTCGTGGACATGGCCTTTGGCACAGGAGCGGTGAAAATTACTCCAGCCCACGACCACAACGATTACGAGGTACAGTAAATTATACAAATCTCTTTCAGTAAGATTGGTTTCCGCACGAAGTTGAGAATGAGAGTCCACAAGTTGGCCGAGTATAAATTTTCAAGATTCATTCGATTCTTTTTTGTATGTCCTACATTAGGCATTGGGAAGTTACAGGAAGTCATGGAAAATCATCCATGAAAAGTGACGAGAAAGTTTTCGTGGATATCGTAAAATCGGAGGATTTAATTACTTGTTCATTCAGTGTAAAAAAAAGTCGAAATCATTTCCATGTGTGATCTGATCGTCTAAATATTACCAAGTACCCTTGTTTCCTGTGAATACCTTACTTCTTGCGAAAATCGGTCAGCCCTCCGATTGATCGGTTCATATTGTTCCCTCCTGTTTTTCAAACTGGAGTTGATACCGGATCGGGAAATTATTTTTTCAGGTCGGTGTACGACATAAGCTGCCGTTCGTGACTGTCATCGACGACTCCGGAAACATCGTGAACGAACCTTGGCTCGGGGAATTCGCCGGTCAGCCGCGATTTGACGTTCGTAAGCGACTTGCGGTCGTCTTGACCGAGAAGGACCTTTTCAAGGGTTCAAGAGAAAATCCGATGGTCGTTCCCATTTGCTCACGTTCGAAAGACGTAGTCGAGCCTTTGATCAAACCACAGTGGTGTGTATTTTCGTGACTATATACGATTGCAGTGCATATTTCTGAATACAAGATTGAAAATATCCTTCCGTTACCTTTTCCATCCATTTTGCGAAAGCCTTGCCAACCGCATTGTTGAGATTTTTATAAATGGACTGACGAAATAATTTCATCAGGTACGTGAGATCGAAGGAAATGGCTGAAAAAGCGACGGAAGCCGTCCGTTCTGGGGAATTGAAGATAATTCCTGATATACACGTGAAGACTTGGAACTCATGGATGTCGAATATTCGAGATTGGTGCATTTCTCGACAGTTGTGGTGGGGTCACCGAATCCCCGCTTACTTCGTCACTGTTGATGTTCCTGATGTACCCAAGGGACATGTGAGTTACAAAATGTGCGCAGTGCGTGGAATTTGAGAACACTTTAAAGATAGCTTTTTTCCTTGTGCAATTATGAGCGTTAAATGGAATCTTCTTGATTTTTATTTCGCTTTCGGTACTGTGAAGAGTAAGGGATAAAGTCTGTCAGGATTTTGGAAGGGGCATTGACCCCGAAAGAGAAGGAACATATTTTCCATATAACCGCAATTACAGTACAGTACTGCTGTGATAGGAAACAATGTGCTTTATCAAGTGTAGTACTTACGGAGTGACGTCTAGCTTGTGTCCGACCCAGCGTACAAGGCTTGGGTGCGACCTTGGTATTTCTAATGCAGGTATGAGGTAATATACTATTGGCCCATGAAGTGTAAGGTTCTGGGATTTAAAATTTATTTCTTGCATGATGATAAATGAAAACTTTCCAATTACGTCCCGAGTTCTCCACCTATGTCATAGGGGGCTAAAAAAAATATCAGGCCAGCTAACAAAAATTGAAATTTTGCTGTTGTTTCAACCATTATATTTTCGACATTTCAGACAGGGGTGAAACTTACAAATTAAAATAACGAAGAAATTTCAATTTTCAACTGGTCTGACAAATTTTAGCACCCAGTGAAATGGGTGGAGAACTCTGGATGTAACTGGAAAGTTTTCACTTATCATCATGCAGCAAATTGAAAAACATTTTTAAAACTTCGAAACAATCCCAGAACCTTACAACTATATAACTATACCTATACCTTATACTAACTATACCTTATAACTATACTATATTCGCTCTATCAGAATTTTTTTTACGTCATACCTACTCTAGAAATCACTGAGGTCGCGCCAAAGTGGGACAACCCTCGTATTCTGCCTTTAATTCTATTATTTTTGATACCTTATTGGAAACATGAATAAGATGGCCAGTTTATATCGAATTATGCATTTTCAGGAAGCGGATGATGCTTATTGGGTGAGTGGAAGGACAGAGGAGGAAGCGAGGCAGTATGCTGCTGCCAGGTTTGGTGTGAAAACCGATCATATAATTCTGAAGCAAGATGAAGACGTGCTGGACACGTGGTTTTCTTCTGGTCTGTTTCCGTTCTCAGTGATGGGATGGCCTGACAAGGTGAAGTGTTCATGCTATGATTGAAAAAACTAATCCTTTCATCGTTACTAAAAATCTGTCATGATATTCTAGACGGTTGATATGGATGCCTTTTTCCCCGGAGATCTCTTGGAAACCGGCTATGACATTCTGTTCTTCTGGGTCGCTAGAATGGTTTTTCTCTCTCAGAAATTACTCGGACGATTACCATTCAAAGAAGTTTTTCTTCACTCAATCGTTAGGGATGCTCATGGAAGGAAGATGAGCAAGTCATTGGGGAACGTGATTGATCCGATCGATGTGATTCACGGGATCACGCTAGAGGTATAAATGCTTGAAATAGGATATTTTCTGTTCAGCCTTCGTGCTTGCGGTTTCATTAATGCTGTAACACCCTAATTTAGGACTTGCTGAAGCAACTGCAAGAAGGGAATATCGATCCCGTAGAGGTTGAAAGGGCCACTGCTAGTATGCAAGCGGATTACCCGAACGGAATCCCAGAATGCGGTGCCGATGCTCTTCGGTTTGCTCTCTGTGCTTATCTCATGTCGGGTAAGATTTAAAATATGTTTTTCGTGAACTATGTAGGTAACATTTTTGAAGAAGTGAATTCTCTTTAATATTCATACGTTATGATTTCATGCGAATGGATAAAATCTAGTTACAGTACTGAATTCTTCTCAACTCTTCAATTTATCTAGTACCGTATTTACGCGAGTTCCACGCGTCCTCGTTTAAGACGCGCACAACATTTTTTCGTAAAAAACATATCATCGCATATGGCGCGCTCCCCAATTTGTATGAAAGAATTCCATAGTCGTTCTCAGTACAGTATAAATCGATTTTCATCAAGCTCAGTAAAAGGAAGGTGGACATCAGTCATATGTATGCCCTTTTTTTTAAACTTGGATGAAAATTGCCTTGCTTTCTTCAAGTTAAATTTCATTCTTAATGGTATGCTTTCTCCCTGGATGAATTCTTCCTGACGTTTTCCATCATTCAAGTTTGTCGCAGACTAACCTTTCTGAAAATGTTTCCAAAAATATTTTACTCACCTAAGCGTACATAAAACGCACACCAAGCTTTTGAAACTCCTGCCAGTACCTTGTTAGTCACTGTATCTAGTTCTCCAAGAAAATTGAGCACCACATATCTGTATTTTCAGTCGTAGACAGTCAAGAAATACTCAATATACAGTATTTAATTCCTTCGAGGAAACTTTGAAAAGGAGTTATGTAACCTCATTTTTTGGCGCGTTCTTCATGGAATCATTTTTTTTCTTCGTGTGAACTCAAACGCTTCGCTTTTTTCCGCAGCAAGAGACATCAATCTCGATGTACTCCGTGTGCAAGGATACCGATTTTTCTGCAACAAACTCTGGAACGCCACAAAGTTTGCCATGATGCATTTAAAGGGATTCGAACCAAATTTTGCGATGAACGATGCCATTGTGCCAGTGAATGCTGGTCCGATGGACAAGTGGATCTTGAGTCGTTTATGCTACGCTGTGGAAACATGTGAAAACGGATTTGTCAACTACGATTTCCCTTCTGTCACCACTGCAATTTACAACTTCTGGTTGTACGAATTTTGTGACGTTTATTTAGTGAGTAACCTTACCTCGTATGTCGGATTCCGAATTACTTTCGAGTTTTAACCGATTGAAAACCGCGAAACCGTATTAGGAAGTCACGAAGCCGATCTTTGGAAACCAGGCTGATTCGCCTGAACGACTGGCTTGTCAGGAAACGTTTTACATTTGCCTCGACACAGCCCTGCGATTATTGGCTCCGGTGATGCCGTTTATATCAGAAGAACTTTGGCAGCGCTTGCCAAAGGTTGGAGACAAATCGCCTCCTTCGATCTGCGTTGCATCTTATCCTGAAACTACCCAGGTAATTTTCTGGACTGTGATGTATTTTCTTCAGTTATTCATGAACAATTGAAAACTCTGGGTGCGGTCTGAAAAATTTACTCAGGTTTTTTTCATCAAGGAAATGGGTATTTTCTTCGAAAAATGCCGAAGAAATTATCTTAACATTTTCTGGGGGATGATTTGGAAAATCAGCGTTGTTCGACCTCGCGATTGAAAGATTTTGTGAAATAAGATACTACTGAGAAACTGGCCGTACGTTAAAACACAGATTGAGTTATGAGGTCGTATTTTGCAGCGATTACCGGTACTTCATGTGCATCTCTCCGAAGGTTGAGAACCGACAAGTTCAATTGAAATTGTAGTTACAGTCGATTCGATTGGCCGTTCGTTTGTCAGCCATCATAGGAGTGTTCTGATTGGAAGATAGACGTTATAGTTTATTTTTGCGAATGACAGTTAATTTGACTTTTTGCACATCGTGATTTCAGTTTTCATGGAGAGATTTAAACCTCGAGAAGCAAGTGGAGGTTATGCAGACGGTTGTCAAAGCAGTGCGATCAGAACGTGCGGAGAAGAATTTGCTCAACAAAATGAAAGTAGATAGTGAGTTAATTTACTTATTGTTTCTAATATTCATCTGGAAAAGTCTTTAATCCATACGCATTTCCCGTCGAAAGTTCATTTATGCTGTGAGACTGAAGCGATTCCCGTGATGGAAGGATTGAAATCTGCTCTCGGAACATTGGCGTATGCAGATAACGTCATCCTGGTTTCTTCTGCACCAACTGCCAAGTTGTATCCTGTTCCGGTTTCGGATAAATATCAGGCCTTCCTTGATTTGAAGGTTTGTTTTCTCCGTCATTTTTCGAGTCCTCAGAATCATACTCACATCCGGTTCAACTTTTGAAATATGTGCATTTAATTAATGTATGTGTGAGGTTATTGTCTGAAATCTTCGGAATCTTCCGAACCGGATTTTTAAATATTTACTTTTTTGAAGGCATCATCCAAATTCTGCGAATTCCCGGATCAATCTTGATCAAAAATTGCCGGAGAAAATTCGTGTTCTCAAATGTTTTCCTCATTATTGAGATGCAGCACCGTTGCGACGGCATGTTCATTAATTTTCAGAAAGATGACGAAAGAATGAATTCCAAGAATGAAAGCAGTGATGGAACAATAAACTCCGACTCATTCCATCATGGCAAAGGCTATTTTCCAACGTGTATCGAAGTGTTATTGTGAATGACCTACAGCAAAAGTCTGGACTCGTGTTCCCCAACCTTTTTGGGCCTGCGGACCAGCAAAGTTCCAAAAACAATTCTGCGGACTGGCGAAGTTTCGTAAACATTTTCGCAGACTAAAAACATTTTGCTTGAAAATTTTTATGGCAGGCACTTTCTGCTTTTTTGCAAAAATTGAGTCAAGAACCAATTGAAGCAGCTATAATGGAATGTCCTCAAAAAATTAGAAAGGTGGGCTTGAAGAAAGGTTTCTCAGAATTGAAAATTAAAATATTTTATTCAATTGAATGTAAATTTATCTGAAGTGTTATTAAGAGAAAAGCCAAAATTTTCTTATGAGATAATTTCAACAGCCAGTGTCTTGCTAAAAATTTCAGATAAAGATACTGTAACATTTCTCATTGATACTTTTGATGAAGTTATTACGCTGGAGAAAATTCCCCGCGGACCGACAAAAAACTTCTGTGGGAAAATCCCCCGCGGACCGGCAAAAAACTTCTGTGGACCGGCGCCGGTCCGCGGACCACGGGTTGGGGAACACTGGTCTAGAGTAGTCCAGACGGAATTATATAGAAAGCTCTTTCATCAAAACTTTTTTAATTTACTTGAAAAATGCGTTGATGTTGACGACCTTCACCCAAAACTGAAATGTCTGGTTTATGTTGGAAAATGGATTTCCGTAAAATTGCGCTTCATGTATGTTGGAATTTACATTGAATTTTTCTCGAACACTCCCAGACATTGTAGAATTACCAAAAAGCTGTTGTAAGTGTGGCGATTTAAACTTGAGCGCGTTGAAATATTCAATGCGTCTTATCTTCTTTTCAGGATAAAATTAACATTCCTGATGAAATGAAAAAGTTGGACGGGAAAATTGCGAAGAAGCACACTGAAATTCAGAAGCTGGAGAAACTTGCTTCAGATCCTGATTACGAGACCAAAGTTCCTGAAGAAGTGCGAATTCAAAACGCGGAGAAGCTGGCTAAAGGCAACGGGGAGTTGGAGAAGATGGTTGACTCTCTGAGCAAGCTGAAGATTATGAATGATCCTTGATGTTCAAGAATCTGATTTAAGGCTTTCCAACGTAAAAAAAAAAAAAATTAAATAAAAAACTAAATACGCTGGAGGATTTCCCGATGTGGAGCGCTGCTTGATGCCCTGTGACGGGTTGATTTGTGCGAATACTTGAGCAAATGCACGAAGCTTGCGAGCGGAATCCGGAGTTGTAATTTCGCTGTTTACCAAAAAATGGGAGAACGTCTCGAGCAGCGTTGCCTCTATTCTTTTTCCCCAGAAAACGAATAACCGCCGCTGTTGATGCCTTCCCTGAGAACCGACTGACCTTGATTCTGGGGAGACCCATTGGGGCACTGAAGGGGTTTCCTCTCTACATTATGGAGCGAACAGGTCGGGCAGTGTAGCGATGTTCCATGTCCCACGGATGCCGTGAAATGTTCGGAATACCGGAAGAGTCTCGCGTAAAAGTCCGTGAAACCCTTTTTGGCAATTCGAGACCATGAACTGCAGTACTATTGCTTGTATCCTGATTTTGAACAGCAATTGGAGAGCAACGATTTTATCAGCCTGGGAACAATTCGAAATTTTGCACAAAACTTTGACCCGTGCGACAAAAATAAATCACGACTTTCCTCAAAATAGATTGCAGGAAAACAATTATTCTTAGGTCTTCACTGGAGAGAACAAAGGATAATTGAAGTACTGTATTTTCGAAGAAAGAAAGATGACTTGTATTATTGCAATGACTCGATTGAAGAATAATTCACCTCCTTCAAGCGTAAACTACCTTTTTTTTAAATTTCAAGTGGAATGCATAATAACCTGAAAAATAAAAAGTTCCCTTTATTCTAAGCCGACAACTGCGTTGAGGATAAGAATTCTTTTTCCGTTTATTTTGCCTCTGAATCCATTTTTCCAAAAATGAAAAAAATTACAGTTCTTATAGGGGCAGTTGTGTCTTATCTTGCCAAGTCGATCCCAACGTTTCTCCGAATATATACAGAAAGGTCCTGCTGCTGAAGACAGCCTCTGTCTAAATTAATTATTTAGCTATTCCGCCTTGGCGAGGAACCAAAATCTCAAGGCTGAACGTATATAGCTTAAGCACTGCCCTATACACAGTATATAGCTATGTTATTATATATGGAAGGATTTCTGCCTGGGTGTAGCCTGGTGCTCATGATACACTGCGGGCTTTTCGTGGATTATTTCGCCCCAACCAGATCACATGGGTCCATAAATTGCAGGAGGGAAAGATTGGCCAGCTGAGAACGAGAGGGAGTGCTGCTGGTATCGGCTGCCCCCCAAAGTCCTGCATCAGCCTGCTCTGGAACAAAAAGAATATACATGAGCGAGTTCACCGGAGATTTGACTATCACTGGGGTACTGTTGTCTACTTATTGCCATCATACCGCAAGAAGCGGTGATATGAATATACAGTACGTCCATGTAAGAATGTAGAAAACCCCGAGGAAACTCGTAAATATAATACTGTGCGGTCGAACCTTTCCAGGTCGAATGCCTCTCTAAGTTGGATTTTTTCAATTTCCTGTGTCGGAATTTCTTTCAGAGACGATGCATGAAAAACGTATCCCTTACTCAAAGGCTCTTCCCCGCAAACCTCCATAACTCAAATTTCCTGGGGCCTTTTAGCTATTATACTCTTGACAGTGGAAAAAGAATACATGTAATGATGTGTTTTGAAAGGCAGTGAAAGACTAATTGGGCAAGTGAGCCCTTCAATAAGTTCAGCATCTTGTCAAATCATTCAGGAATCAATTTAGGGTCCAGAATATCACCAATAAATCACCATTTCGATATACTGTATCCTTCAATTCTTCTTTCTTTACACCCCAACAAAAATGCGTGTTTCCCTAGCTGCTGGAAATCTCAACTCGTTTCATTTTGCCAGCCCTTTGAAATTTGACTGGAAGTAGTTTGGCTTTTACTCAAATATATGCACCACGCAATATCAAGACGCGTACCGAATTTTTTTGCATATAATTTGACAAAAAAAAGCTATCCCCGCATATGACGTGCACCCACGTTTTGTGCTGGCTCAAATTTTTTTCTTTTTAATAATCCTGTGCAAATAAATTACTTCATATAAATAATCATAATAACTTGAAGCAATTTTAGAGCTCAAGTAAAGAACATACATTTGTGTTCATTGTTGTGTTCTCCTTCAAGAAATCCCTTACTAGCATGACGGGTTTCATGATTTTATGCTTTCAACAAATTTATACCCGCATATGACGCGCATCCCACTTTTTTCCCTTGGTTTGTGGAAAAAGGTAGTGCAAGTCCCTGTTGATTAAATTAATCAACTCCAAAAAAAAGATTGAATCATAGCACAGTGAAAAAATGATATGAAGAGATAAGGCAGGGCAATCAACCTTTTAGGCTTAGAACACATATTCAAAGTCCTCTTGAATATGTGTTCCTGGTTTTGAACTTTATTTTATACGTTTTTTAAAATCACAAATGTCTGGAATTAAATGCAAGAAATCACAACACCAAATTTGTGAACAAATTGGATTAAGAAGATAATGGGATAATAATAATAATTCACCAAAAATGTTGTGTCTGTGTGATGAGAGAAGAATGCTGAACTTCTTCATGCAAGAGAGCACCTTCACTGGTTTTCTCTTGAAAACATTGGAAACCTTCACTGGTTTCCTCCTTGGACCCAAATTCTGGTTTGCCCAAGAGTCCCCAGCTCAAGGGACACATATGCAGTACAGTACAGTACAGTACAGTACATTGAAAACCCCTCTAATATATGATGGGAGATCAAGTTTCCAGATTCCGCGATTGAGTTGTAATTAAAATATAATCAGGAATGAAAATAATCGTCAAGGCCAATCATCCAAGTTTCACAAAATTTTTGAGTAAACTGAATCAACATTATCTCGTTTCTCTTCTGTATAATAATAGAGCCTTCATGCAAATCAAGTGGAGAACACATTTCTTTTGAGGTGAAGTGCGACGAAATGCATCAGCTGAACTGCTGGATCCAACAACCAACATATAGTAACGGGAAGGTTGTCCAACTTGAATGCGTATGTTCTGATATATTTCTGGAGTGAAGGTTTGAATTTTGATCGAAAAAAAATAAATGTAAAAATAAAATCGTGGAATAGCCTACGGCTCTCTAAGGTTCTGGGGTTTAAAAAAACATAATTTTCAATTCATTGCTTGATGATGCATGAAAACTTTTCAGTTACATAGCTAGAGTTGTTCTCCACTCATATCTTACACATGGGGCTGAAGATGTGTCAAAGCATCTAAAAAAATTGAAATCTATTTGTTTTTCCAATCACCATCTAACTTGTGGACATACGATCATGGTTATAAAGGAAATTTTCAATTTGTAACTGGCCTGGCACATATTAGCTCCCTGTGACAAGGGTACTGGACATATACTGAAGAAAAAAAAAACTTTGGGGCTATAGCACTGGAAAGTTTTCACTTACCATCATTGAGTAAGTTGGAAAATATTTTTAAAAATCTGAAAAATACAAGAGCCTTATGTAGGAAACATCATGGGCTATATAGTGTCATGCTGTTTTCTTTCTTCTCATAATCAGACCCCTACTCTAGAAAAATCAGAGCCCGCGTCCAATCGGGACAATTATACCTGGTACAGTTTCTTCAGTGAAACTTTGTACTGTATGTGAAAGCTGATGCAGCATTAGCGATAAATCACAATGCAAATACAGCATACGAAATGGAATCAAATACTGTACTGTAGTAGATTACTGCAGTTATACTGTACATAGCTGTGCCTTAATGCATGTCCTTCATCATCAATTTAATGTACAGCGACTATATTTAAATGAACTACCCGTATAAATGCGCCCGATTTTTCTGAACTTTATTGAGTTCTGCCGTCTCCATAAAATCGCAGTGTAACATTTATACAGTAGTTATTGCGTACGCATATCATGAACACTTGTAAACAATACCGTACTTCATGCGCATTTTTCCGTTTCTTTTCATGAACCTCTTACTTACAGCGCTTATAAAGTAACCGTGCCGAAAATTTAGAGTCATTGGCAAAATTCTGTAAAACAAATAATCCCGATGAGTATGCACCTTTTAACCTGCGAATTAAACGTCAAGTTGCCCTGTTATATATCTTTCAAACCCACTCGTCCGGGCATCTTGATACGGGGGGAAGCCGCGTACGTCATCCGTGTGGTTCGAGGCGTGTATATTTGGATTCCAAACAAGTGGCGAAGTTTGATGTTCTAGCCCTCTGTATATACGTACACTGGAAATTCTCGATCCAGTTTTTTATACATATATAGTATGCGGCATCAGCCATTCCGGAAAAGCGGGATTGTCAGCTGGTTTAAATGGATTCATGGGGCCCTTCTTAAAATCGAGCGAAGACATTTTTTTCGACACAGCGCTGTGTGGAAATAAAAAGTGTCTTAGCTGGATTTTAAGAACTGCAACGATCCTTTATTTGAGTTGTGATTAGTATTCCAAATCAAATGTTTGAAGCAAAATATATTTTGAAAATTTTCTAAATAAATTTGCGCGAGTGAACCCGTTTTTTGTTTGGGTTAATATCCTATTCGAACGATATACGCATCTATCGTTATCGCTGGATACCAATTATTAAATCGTTCTTTATACAGTGTAACCGTTCTCACACATTGTTTTTACATTTGTTTTTAGTAATAAGAAATGCATTTAGGATGCATTATAACGAGCTTACATATCTTTTATTATTCCAACTCGGTAATTCGACGTATAGAACTTCATGCAGTAATATACAGCACATGTTATGGTCACAGAAAAAATTTGTAAATTTCTCATGGCAATTTACCATTTTTTAAATTGTTATTTCACTGTGGCATTGTAATGCGATTTCTCAGTTTACTAGAACAATCTATGAATGCCTTCTATTTTTGAAGAGTACGCGCAATCGCCTCTTTAATAGTTGGGAATTTCACCAACACTGTACGAGGGTTCTAACAAAAGTTCTTGGAGTAGCAATGAAAATGGCCTACAGTTGACCTGAAACAACTTTTTCTTTAGGGAATACATATTCTTTGGCACCCAAAAAAATATCAGCCCTGTTTGACAAATTTCTTTGAATGTTTTTCATAATTCACCCTGGCAGACTTGCTCTCCACTCAAAAGATGAGGCGCCCTTTTTTTGTTGTAGCCCAGCTTTCCCCTCAG